AGGAATGATTCTGTGAGGATGAGGAACAAGAGGGAGACATGAATGAGATGAAGCCAAGCCAAGTACCAGGCTGTGGAGGCCCAGAAACAACTCAGTGTGGTTTATGGACCACTGATTCAGTAGACCTGCAGCCAAAAAGCTGCAACCAACAGCTGAACTGATGGTGTTCACTAATGGCTGTTCAAATACAGATACACAGCTTGTGCTCTATTCAAAATGCCTTTACTATACAGTGTAAAAAAAATTAATGTTTCAAAAAAAATATATTCTGGCAGCTGGAACACCAGAAAATTACCCAATGACAGAAAATAACATTTAAAAAAAATAATAATAATAGTAATTTGATTCCTGTAATTCCTGTAATTTTAAATACTTTTCCCTTTTAATGTTCAATTAATTCTTATGTATTTAATTTTTTTCCATGTTAAAAAAGATGCTAACTTTTAAACCCCAGAAATCTTCTCTAAAAATTATAAAAATCTTATTTTTTAAAACAATGATAAAACTGATCTTTTAAATATATATGTACATTAATATACTGCTAATTTTAAAATATATATAAAGCAGTGTTACTAACCATTCATTGTTGTTTCACAAAAGTCAGTTCTTCATTTGACATGAGTTTCAGCAGTTATTGAAAATATGCATAAAAGCACTAGAACATACAGTACACCTCATTTTCTGAGCTTTAGGTCACATCCAAGAGGATCATTCATCGTAACACTGTAGATAAGTAAAAAAAAAAACAAGGAAAAGCATGCAGTACTTGAATTCATTCAGGGCAGAAACATGTCTTTCACTCTCCTCACTTCATATTTCCACTGAAAAATATAGCTGGTGAATAAAGAGAGAACACCCGGATAAGGTGATAAATTATGATTTCATTCAACATTCTTCTTCCTGTGCACAATGGACAACTAAAAAAAGAGAGGTGATTGTGATGCCAGCTTTTTTTGTTACACACTGGGTGACCATTGGGCCAAAATCCCCAAAAAGCAGAGCAATCTTCTAATAGCTGTGGAGCTTTTCACTTAGCAACAGTGGAAATTGAGTCACAGCAGTGGCGCTAAACTGCACAGGCTGATTATAGGCTTGACTGTGAATTACATGACTTCAGCTAAGTGGAATGATTTACAGGATCTTAACTCTCCAAGCCAAAATTTCAGCATTATGGCATAAAAGGGCCACAATAGATACCTCCAGCAGCACAGAGGTAGTGAGGATATCTGCCTTCAGGCTGCGCTGTAGGAGTGAACAACACAGGAAGCATCTATTTCTAATGTACATCAGTGGCAGGTACACATACAGACACCCACATGTGTACAGTACACAAAAATACTGACAGTGATTTGTACACCTGCATGCACACACACAGGCAGCTACACACACCCCCACACACACACACACACACATACACAGCTCAAGAGGTGGTCTGGCAGTAGTGGTTTATTGTGCATGAATGCTCCTCAAATTTCACTGTGTTGCATCAGCCAGGCAACTGTGTTTTTGCAGAATGAATTAGTCCTCTCTTGTTTCCTTGAACAAATGAAACTGTAAAATGCACTTAGAGCTCACATTTCAAGTGAAACATTCCTCTGCAAAATGTACCTAATGCATATGTTTTAGGTCGTTTCATCCCTTGTCATTTCCCACCCTCTTTTCTGTCTTGGCAGCTGCTGGGGTATATCTATAATAACATCAAAGACACATATTGAAAGCATGAGGAATAAAGTGTGTAGGTAGACCTTAACATGCTTTGCTAAACACAGAAAATGGTCATTTTAACTATATCATTAGTGGAGATACTGCTTATGTGAGTTTACTGCTACATTTAAACCTAAAGCAAGAGCCACATTTTGTTGTGATCACTTTATACAGGTTGTGGTAATTTTTGTATGTGCTCATCCTGTACATTTGTGGTTGGATTGTTCTCCCCAGTTTGTTTCAGTTTCTTGACTCTGCATGTATTTAATTTATTAAAATGCAATTGTGATGTCCAAGCAAAGTGTGATCACATTAGTTTGAATGTATATAATGGCATTAAGTGTAAATGTGCGTAACATGTGTGTAACACAGTATTAACAATGGCAACAATTTGGAATACTCTGAACATCATTTATAACATATAAGATAGTTTTTCTTAATAATTCAGTAATGACTTGTTCAGTATACTCTCTGAGAACAGAATGCTCATAGAGTACTTTTTTGCAAAATGTAATTCTGATGTGCCTGAAATATGTATAAACTGTATAAAAAAAAGATGGTTAAAATTGTCAGAAAACACTTAATGCAAAATAATTATGCAAATATGGTGATGAGGCTTTTGAGCATTGCCACTCTCTGACACTCGCTTAGTTTGGTTAACTAATGAAATGATTAATCATTTCATTAGTTATTCATTATATGTTCATCTATTTAACCATTCCATCAGCCGTTCATTGTATCACATAATGTGATACAAAGACTTCAGCACCATCATACATTAATTATATTTATGGTGCTCGATGTGTCACAGTTATGACG